ATCCAACCATAAACACACACACACACAATTAGAATTTTACAGATTTTAAAGTACCCAAATTTCCAGATTACAACTTTTCCAAAGAAAGGCAGTCTTTCTTCAGCAGAGTCTTTGAGACAAGAACGATATAAAAGCTAAAATAAAATAATTAAAAACATATAATTTTGCAGATGTTGAAGTACCCAAACTCCAAGACTGGAACTTCTCTAAAGAAAGTGTTTTCAAAGCAGAATCTTAGTGTAAAATATGATAGATAAGCTTTAAACAATAAACTTCAAAGACTGAACCTTGAGAAAGGTGAGAAATCCCTTGTAGATGAAACTCTGAGAGAATTTCCTGGGATTTTATGGCAGTGCCTTACGGCCTTGTCAATTGTCAATATTCTCCTCTTAGAAAATAAAAATGTTATCTGGATTAGCTGGCTAATATCAAACCATTACCAATATTTTCTTCCTTGATGGTATCTATCCGGCGGAGAGCTTTGAGTCATCTGACCTTAGGCGATGAGGAAAAGTCAAAATTAAGGAAAACTAATTATTTATTATAAACAATGTTAATTAATTATTAAAATAAACAATTATTACTTATTAAACTAATCTTCTCTTCTTCTTTTTCTTTTTTCTTTTGGGAAATAGAATGCCAGTCGGCCTTTATTTAAACTAATCTTTAATAAACCTTTTTTTTACTTTTTACAAATAAATCTGCTTTCATATTCTATAGAATCGTTTCATACCATTTTTTCATTAAACCAAAAGTTTATAAAAATAATTAATTCCTCAAACTTTTAATTCTAAAAATTTTTTAGTATTTTTAATATTTTAATATTATTAATTTTTATTTAAAATTTAAATAAATATTTAAACTTCTGTAAAAATTAACTAAATATTTTTATTATATCATCATTTACACAAAAACTATCACATCAACATTGTGAACTATAATATTTAAAAAAAAAATTAAATTAGGCCTTATATATTCAAATTCAATCTATATTTTAAAGGCATAAATTTTTTATTCAAATTTATTTTTTAATTTAATATTTATATCTAATTTTTTCGAGGACCTCATGCTTGGATGAATAATCTAGTCCTTTAATAAGTTATTTATTTATTTTAATTTAAATCTTATTACATATATGAGTTTTATTTACATTGATTCGAGATTAAATGAGCATACGTCATAATGATTCATTAATGTAATATTTATTCGCTGTGCATATTTTTTTCATATACTTAATGTCTTTCTCGAGATTAATGATAATTAAGTTTTGTAGTCCATCGGTAGACGTGATAATTAAAAAATGAACAAAGAAGATTTGGTGGGGTTTATTTGTAATTATTCTATAAGTTCGTAATAATTAAAGATGAAGAAAGAAGAATTGATAGGATTTATTTGTAATTATTTTTTATATTTATATAATTTATATAGTCATTGATCATTACGTAGCGCGGAAGTGGCCAATCATAAGATAACAGTGTCCGCAATAATTAAGATTTGTAATTCCTTATTAGACGTGATAATTAAAATAAATAAATAAATAAATAAAATTTGGTGGAGATTTATTTTTAATTATTTTATAAGTAGGTTATATGCATCGCTTTCCAATACCGGATAGAAGGAACTGAAATCAACGGATTAATTTGTTTATGTTACGCGGTAGTTTAATTTAAAATAGTTTTTAATTTAAGTTATCATGTTTAATTAAAAAAATTATATAAATTTATAATATTTTCAGTTACAATAAAAATATTACATCATATAACTAAAAAATATTATATAAATTTATAATATTTTTGGTTGCAACCGATTTATAATATTTTTAACTTTGTACTAATTATTTTTTTTTGAATTTTTGAATTGAAGCTTCAACAGATTTTGGCATCACAGAAATGATGATCGTAGACTCCGACTTTTTTCTTCAAAATTCTTGATCAGATTTATACCTTTGGCGGGACGACGAAATTACTTTCATATTTTTATGGTTGTTGTTGAAGGATTCAGATTAAGGTTGAAGATGAGTTCAGTTGGATTGGATTTTTATACATTCAAATTCGATTTGAATAATATACTCTTTCAACTGTCAGCTGAATTAATTCGGATTTAGAAATTTTTTATCTAACTCGATATCCGACTTAATTTTTAAGATAAAATTGTATTCAACTCACGCACATATAATATTTTATAATTGTCTTCGAATATTATACTCTTTCAAAACGTGGATATTTTCTAATTGTCTTTCGAATAAAATATTTTTTTCATTCTAAACCCAAATCAAACTTAGAATAATATTTTCATGCCTATAATATTCTTATAATTTTATTCAGACTTATTCCCTCTGCCCTTTTATATGTTGTTGATATAGAAGTACCCACTTGGGTCGCCATCATATGCTTGCATTGATTACTACCAACTTTTATTGGGATAGTTGAGGAATATAAGAAATGAGCTATGTTATGCCTTTGGCTTCACAATTTTTTTCTTTTTTAGATAAGTAAAATTTTATTATCCAAGAAAACGTTCATCTTCACAAATATTACTATCAGTTCTCCCCTCACAAAAAGAATGCATGGCCTGTTGACAAAAATGCTAGGTTGGTTAATCTCTCTGTTCTACATTTCAAGTAATTTGACTGAAAATCTGCTTTTATCATCACTATCCATCATTTCCTCACAGTGGTGGAATGAACGGATTTCTTTGGTTAACTGAGAGGAATGGTTGGAGAGGTGCAATCTCTTCCCCCTGTTAAGGAGTTGCCACGCATAGAATCTAACCAAGTTTTGTGTTGGCCCTCAGCTAGTAGAGGCAGCTCAACGTCTTGTCAACCACATACTTAATATCTAACCAAACGGCTCTTGTTCGAGCAACCACCATCTTATATCCAACAACTACACCAGCATTAAACAAAGGCCTGCTGAACCATCAGGTTATGAAAGAAGCTTTTTTTTTTTTTGAAGTAGTCGACCACATGCAACTGAATCACCATATCCTACCCGAATTCGACTCAAAAAATATACACCCATCATTCGATCCGTCTTTTTGAAATAAAATCCGAATCCAGTCATAACCAAAATAATATATTTATTAAAAACATTATTTATATTCAATTAAAAAAGAATTTAATCTGAAAAAATAAAGAAAAATATATTATTACAATTATTTTCAAATATATAAGGTAAAATTATATTTTTTAGACCGGATCGGGAAAGATATTTTCACCTTAAATCCCAACCCAACCCGAATATAACCTCTAAAAAACCCAACCCCATCCAAACCCTTTTTTTATATCTAACCCAATAAAATCGAATCGGATCAAAACTCATTGATTTCAGATCTCGTACCCATCCTTAGACTTGCCTGTATTTTTGACACATGCACGTCCAATGTCACACCAACCATCTATCACTTTCTGTAAATTTTGTAAATAAATTTATGTTACAATAGAAAATATTATTCTATTCAATCATTTTGATAAAAAATTGTTGCAACCGATTTATGTCATTTTTTAAATTTATATTAAATGGTTGTATTCCAGAGTCGCATAGAGAATCCACTAAATATGAATTGTAAAGCCGTGAAGAAACTAGGATGGAAGAATTCTTCTACCATTTCCAAAAATTATATATACCTGCAACCAAATACAGGTTATTACTGCAAAAAGTAACCACTCAAAAAGAGCACAAAAAAGAACAAACTTCCATAAATTAACAGAGCTTTCTGTCCAGAAGTAAGCGTGTTGCCTCCTAAGCCATATTGTTGATTCTGTGCGAAGCCTGCAATCTCCACGTTTTTATTCTCAAAGAAACTCTGAGCAACCCCGCAAGTAGGGCATCTCCAATCATCTGGCAACTTGTCGAACTGAAACCCCGGTGGGATTGGATATGAAGGATCACCCACAGCTTCATCTTACTTGAACCCACACGATCTGCACTCATATATCCCAGTGTTCAACAACGCGAATTTCTCTTCTAGCCTGCTTTTATCCATCTTTGTTTCCTCCTGCTTTGAACTTGGGCCGTCTTCTTTGGAGACATCAATGGAGTTGATGCAGAAATGCAGTTGCCTTTTTTGGGGTTTGTATTTGAGCCAGATTGTGGGTTTGGGGTGAAGACAGAGATGGTGTGGTTTTGGATAAGGTTGGGTTAATTAGTGAAAAGAAAAGATAACCCTTATTGTTGCAGAAGCCATTCGGAATGGAGTTTCAAAGGTTTGGGGTTCGGTGTTAGTATTTTGTTCAGGTTGTTAATTGATATTTTGGGTAACTGGGTGGAGGAGAAACGAACGGATCAATAGAAAGGTGGTAGTTGGATCAGGCAGTTTACCAGTAGAATTGTTCTTCTAATAGGCCGGGCTTTCTGTTTGACTTCGGTAATTCGCCTGGTTTTGAGATGAGTTCAATTCCCATTTCAGATTTCCTTTTACACTAAACAAAAACTCCCTACTTTCCTTTTTGACTTATTAAACAAATCGGTACCTAAACGTTGTAATTTTTCTCAAATTTCAAAAGAATTATCACCTCCAATTGCCAATTTGAGAGTCCAATATATGATCCTTCAAGGATGCTGTAAATGGTTAAACTCAAAAGAAATGAACATAATCATGTTGGACACCTTCACCCCGAGTCCGTGTAAACATAGGCAAGCATTGCATGCTTGATGCATTGAACAACCTTTGTTCTCAGTAACAAATTGTACCAACAACATTGCAAGCCTTTTATCAAGCATTAAAGCAAGTTTGCACGAAATGATTGAGAGTTTGATCATAGGCTTTCATGAAATACAACAGCCTTTGAACTCAGAGCAATGAATCCAATATGACCATCATAGAGGCAACATTACAGTTTTTTTAACAAACCTTAAAAAAAAAGTTTGCAAGAAATAAATGAAAATAGAATGCATAAGAAATGACACCAAACAATCAAAAACCATTCTCATTAGAAGCAAATAAATAAAGGATAACATCCCAACCCTAGTTTCCCCCATCCCAAAAATTTCAACCTTGGACCCGAGAGTAAGTGTCAAATAAAAGTATGTGTAACATAAATATGCTCATATTTTTATGAATTTTTCGATATTCTCAAAAGATCATACTCGCATATGTCCAAATGTGTCAGACATGGATGCATTAAGCAAAACAGTGATTCAGAACAACAAGTCATAACAAGTGATCTATCATCTATTTAATTCAAATTTCAACTAAAATATAACATTTTATGCAACAATGCAGTAAAATGGTAAACTGTAGTTGAATCCATTCTGCAAATTCTACAATGTTAGAGTTCGCATGGTTGCATTAAGGATAACATCGGTCCTTTATTCTAGGCAAGTCAATCCCAACCCATGTATAAAAACCATATATACACAAATGAGAATAACTAGAACATACTATTGATTCAAAGGCTAAATGATTATAAATCATTATTCCAATAACTGTTCGTTTCTATCAAATAAACAAAAGGAAAACCCAAAAAACGAACTAATAAAACCAATTACTCCCCTACACTGTCAGCCTATCCATCAATAATCAAGAAATCTTTCATGGAAATCACTCATAAGCAAACCGTATTCAGAAATCACTCATAAGCAACCGTATTCAGAAATCACCCTCCCATCAACCGCAGCTCCTCCAAAGCTGCCTTAATCTGATCCTGCACCAACTCCAACCGCTTAAAATAAACTTCCAACTCCAATATTTGCTGCTTTCTCCACCTCTCATCAATTAACTCCCCATTACCACCACTGCCGTACCCGAAATTGCCGAAATTTAATGGCATAGCATTCATAGCCAATCCACTAATCCCTCTTCCTCCACATCCTCTTCCTCCTCCTCCCATTAAACTACCTAACAACTCCTTAAACAAGGGTGTTAAACAACTCTTCACCGCCTCCTCTATTACAGCCGCCACGTTTCCTCTTTCTCCTCCTCCACCACCACCGCCACCCCCTCCAAATCCGTCCACATGAGCATGATCATGATCACTATTATTAAAATTATTGTTAGAAATCACAAACCCATCGTTTAAAACTCTCTTCTCCTCCATTTTCCCTCCTTTACTTCTAGACCTTTTCTTGGTAGCTGGGGATTTCGGAGTAGAATTTCTTTTCTCTCCACTTTCATCAAGTAAATTGATGTTAGTAGCATTATTATTAATATTATTTTCATCATAATCTAAAACATTATCTTCTACTTTGCCAACAGTATCACTCCAGATCTTTCGAGAAATTTCAAAAGTAGCTTGATCATGAGGGCTTTTGAAGGAAATATCTTTACCTGAATTGATCTTGTTCATCACGTTCCTATATTTCTTCTTCAATCTTCGAAGTTTCTCAACTAGTTGGTTCTTGTTGCAATCCAGCTGAAGCTTCGATTTGATTAGATCGTAAAACAACGCAGTATCATGATGATGGTGGTGAGAAGAAGAATTTGGGTTGGTTCTCGAGGACGTGTAATCGAGAAATCCTTTGAGAAGCTCGATCTCGTCTTCGTCAGTCCATAAACGTTGAAACAACCGTCGTGATTCATCGAAAGGTTGCAGAGGAGGTTTTTTCTCAGATACCACGGAATCAGTCCGTTGGCGTTTGGAATCGGGATTCAATTCGCCGATTGGAAAAGCAGCGACGGTTACGACGTTGGAGGAAGGCAAGGCAAGGCAAGAGGAACGGCGGGGATTGAATCAGTGGAAACGACGGCGGCAATCGGCTGAGGTAGTAAAGAGGGAGAATTAAAATCCTCTTCTTCCTCTAACAACTCTTCGTCCTCTTCGTCGTTGTCGTTGAGGACGTCGTCGTTTCCAGAGGAAGAGGGTTCCTCGTCGTCGTCCTGATATTCCTCAAAAACGGCACCGTACTGCTCCGAAGCCATGAGAGAAGGAAGAAGAGAGTCAAAAACGAAAAGGCTCACGAGGATTTTGTTGATTAAAAAAGGCGTGTTGGACTTGGTGAAAGTTTGGTTAGAGTTAGACCCGTGTCGGGTTCACAATTAGGCCCACGCTCTTCTCTAGAGCGTGTGCCAGGAAAATCAAATCAATTTCGATTTTTGGTGTGATATTATATTTCTTTTGATTTTCTAAAAGTATGAAACTCATATTCAGTGGATAAGATAGGCTAATAAAAATTCTCCGCATAATGACGAAATTAATATCTAATTTTTATATAAACGATCATTTTAATTTTAACTTTTGTTGGAGTATTAATTTTTAATGTTTATTTTTTTTAAAATAATTCAGTTAAATGAAAATCGTTAGTTACTATCGATCGATATATATTGTTGATGAAATATTTAATATGTGTTTAATTGATTATTGTGTTACCAAAGTGATGATGTGTTATCAAAGAGGATCTCTCGATACGATATACATCTGCTCCTCTCCCCCATTCAACGGGCCTCACTTTCCGGCCTTCCTATTTACTACCGGATCGCTTCTCTTTGGGGCTTTGACAATTGACTAGTAAAAAATCACCTTCCCTCTTTTATTTTTGCTTAGATCTACTCGGAATTCTTTGTCTCAGGTTCCCTTTTCTACCCTCTGTATTCCTTCTTCTTTTAGTTACTTTTACTCTGTGGTTTTCATTTGTAGATTTAGCTCTGTTGTTTGTAGTAGCAGCGGGAAATTACTTTTCTTTTAGTGAATCTTGACCGAATAACTTTCTGATCTGTTATTTTTTTGGAATTTCTCAGTATTTTGGTTCTTGAAAATTATAGGATCTCTAGATTCTGAGGTTTGACTGGATTATTTATGGAAATTTTATTGAAAAAAGTTCAACATGTTTTGAGTAAAGCTTTGAGTTTATGACATCTTAAACTACCATAAAATTTGTTATTTACTTGAAAAGCAGTTTTGCTTTGAGTAGGATATAATGGATCTATATTTTTCTACTTGCTTTGAGTAGGATTTACTGGATCTGTATTTTTTTCATTGTCCTAGACTCCTAGTATTCAATTCAATTTTTTCAAATTTTTTTTTGAAATTGACAGTAAACATTAGAACTTTTTTTTATAAATTAACAATCAATATTATTATATTTTTCTTCCCTTTTAACACTAGGCTTTTAGTAATTAATTATAATCATTAATATTTACCCCACATAATAATAAAAATCAATATTATTATATTTTCTTCCCTTTTACATTAGGCTTTTAGCAATAATAATAACAATAGTATTTTATAAATTAAAATCCTATTAAGTAACCAACTAGGCTTCTTAGTACCCCTCAATTCTCTAGCATTTTATTAGTGCATCTCTTGTCTTCTCTGGGTTCCTTTTTCATAGTTCCTTATAGCTTCGGCTATAGATGATTACTTGAGGTCATGTCCTTATTTTAGATCCCATATGGCGTTAAGGGGACGGGATCGATAGAGTGGTGTCAAGGAGACTAGACTTAGAGTTTGTACATTGAATGTAGGCACATTAAATGCTAGGCTGATGGAGCTGACCGACATACTAAGTAATAGGAAAATAGATTTTGCATGTATTCAAGAGACTAGGTGGAAAGGGGCTCGCGCCAGAGAGTGTAACGGGTACAAGTTGTGGTATTCAGGCGTAGATAACGCTAGAAATGAGGTGGGTATCTTGGTATCCTCTAGGCTCAAGGAAAATGTAGTTGAATGTAGATACCGTGATAGGATCATGATGATTAAGGTTATTATAGAAGCGAAAATGGTGAATATTCTTTCAGTGTACGCCCCACACGTTGGCCTAGGGGAGGGGGAGAAACGTTGCTTCTGGGATGCGTTAAATGATGTACTTAGGAGCATTCCGGAGGACCAAAGAGTTTTCATAGGGGGAGACTTCAATGACCATATAGGTAGTGAAATCAACGGGTATGACGGTGTTCATGGGGGTTTCGGTTTTGGTAGTAGGAACAAGGAGGGGAGTACGCTGTTTGAATTTGTTACTACACACGATATAGTGGTCACTAACTCCTTCTTTTACAAGAGATATATGAACTTGATTACGTTCTATAGCGGGGTATCCAAATCGACTACATCCTGGTTCGAAATCAGGATCGATGGGCTTGCATTGACTGTAAGGTGTTCCCTGAAGAGACATATGCATCACAACATAAATTGTTGGTTTTGGTGTTCCGCGTATGCCACGGGCGGAGCACTCATAGGAGGGCTAAACTAGGTAAACCTAGGATCCTTTGTAAGAACTTACATAGAGCGATAGCTGATGACTTTAGGAGTAAGGTTTTGTATCATACAGGTTTTGGAACTACAAACTCAAATAATGCAGATATGTTATGGAAAAATATGGCAAATTCCATCAGAGAGGTGGGCAAAAACACCATTGGGTTGTCAACAGGGAAGGTCAAGGAATATAAAGAATCATGGTGGTAGAATGATGAAGTCCAAACTAAGGTGAAGACAAAGCAAACTTGCTTCAAGGAGTTGCTACATTGCAATGACGACGAAGAAAGATCAAGAGTTAAACAAAGATACAAGGAGGAAAAGCGGGAAGCCAAAAAAATAGTGGCTAAAGCAAAGGATAAGGCATACGAGGAAATGTACAAGAGATTAGACACCAAGGAAGGACAAAACGACATCTTCAGGCTTGCCAAAGCCAGGGAGAATAAAAATAATGATCTAGGTAGCATTAGGTTTATTAAGGACAACAATGGTGTTCTTTTAGTAAAAGATCATGATATTAAGAGGGTTTGGGGTAGTTACTTCTTTGGCTTATTTAATAACAGTTCCACTCCATATAGAGCTAGTAATGTTGATAGGTTAGTCGTTCATCATACTACGACCAATGACTGCCCTACTAGCAGGATTGGGATTGAGGAACTCAAAATGGCCCTTAGAAAGATGGGGAGGGACAAAACTATCGGTCCAGATCAAATTCCTATCACTGTGTGGCTGACTGTCACAACCGTCTTTCGATTGGGCCCCAGAATTAGGCTTCGACTTAGGAAAATGGATTAGGAGTCGCCACCGATCATTTATTTTAAAGTAAATGGGTTGATCGAACACCCTATTTCTTACCTGATCTGCGTCTTACCAAAGATGTGTCGGATTCGGGAGTCGGTTACAGTCAAGGAAGGATTAGCACCCTTGAACTGCCCTTTCGATACTACGCAATTTCCAGTTGTGTTTGATTAAGAAAATTGTAAGTTAAATTAAAAGATAAAATGATGATCCAAATTACTCACCTCTAAGGTTTGGAAAACGAACCCTTAAATAATCAAGAAAAGTGTTAGAAAAACAAAAACGATGAAGATAAATTGAAAATAAAGAAAATGAAATAAAGAAGAGATAAACAAAAAAAAATACTAACAAATATAGACGAAAAGTAAACAACACAGTTGATATAGAGATTATGAAAATAAAATGAATATATAAAAAAATAAAGACAATGGAATAAGATAAATAAATAAAATAGGAAAAATGAATCAATGAATAAAGAAAATAAAAATAAAATAAATAAACAAAACGAAGGGAAAAAAGGTAAAAAAGGAAATACATACATATTAGCTTGTAAACTAAAAAATATATAAAGAAAAATATTAAGAAATAACGTAATATATATATATATATATATATATATATATAACATATAAATAAAATAAGTAAAAAATAAAATAATAATGATACATGTATATACATAACAACAAAAGGAAATAAATAATAATGACGGTTGCGACAGCTTGACGACTCTGCTGGGGACACAGGTAAGTGAGTCAGGCTAAGGTAATTTCCAGTTGTCTTTTTAACGAAAAGGGTAAGTTTAAATTTTAAGGTAACATTTCGATCATTATTACTTACCTTTGATTATATTTTTTTGAGTAAATAGTTGTACTAATCGTTTTCTCATGTTTTCAGCCCTTAAAGATTTTTTCATCTAAGGCACTAAACCCGAGCTCCAAACCCGTTTTAAGTGGGGGTGAAAGCGACGCCTTCGTATGAATTTATTCACCGTATGGGCCTAGCAAGTAGCCTTCGGGATTCATATACCTTATGCCTTCGTGTGAATTTATTCTCTGTATGGGCATAAGGGAATGTGTCCTCTCGAGTTTAACTTAGTCCACATAAGCCTATGATGGGTTTAGGACTAAGGGTCTGGCAAGCCCAAGGGGGCACCAGCAAGGAGAACTCGGGTACCGTTTTTTAGAACCTATACTGGGAGAATTTGAAGAAATAGAGCCTACCCCAAAACCACATTCTAAAACCTAGAACATTTCTTTCATAACCATGTTTTTTTCTCTTATGTTTTTTTCTTGCCATTTATTTATTTCTATTTTTTTTATTTCTATTTATTTTTATTTTACTAACTGTTTGCCTTTGTGTTTGTTTTTAAAGCATTTGCATCATAACAAGAGGCCATTGATCCCTAAAAAGGTGTTTGTTACACAAAATAATCTGAATTAATGGATAAAGGTGTTGTAATACAAGAGATTAAAAACCCCGAGGTACGACTATGGTCCGAGAAGACTCAGAAGGAAAATGGAGATAATCTTCAAGGAAGCTATGTGTCAGAGCTGGTTAGCTACGCCTCTATCAGCCTAAAGTAGAATGACGTGAAAAAGCTTCGGGACATCTGAGGCAGTTGGAAGAATGATCAGAAACAGAAGTTCAGCCAACGGTACAGTGACATTGCATTGTTGCTTCAAATCAAGACTGATAAGCCCTTGATCAGAGCCTTGGTTCAGTTTTGGAACCCGGGATATAATTGCTTCACTTTTAATCAGGAGGACATGGTGCCCACCATTGAAGAGTACACTACACTGTTGCACTGTGAAAATATCAGACTGGAGTGAGCTTATATTAAACACATCAAAAGTCAGCCTTTCAAGAGTGCACTATCCAAGGTTGCTGGGGTTGACGAAAGATGGGTAACAGACCGAGCTCGATGTAAAGGCAATGGGGAAGGAATTGCCTGGCTTCATATCAAGCAACTGATGAAGGACCATCCCGATGAGTGGAAGGCAATAGACTTGTTTGCACTGGGTCTGTATGGACTGATTATATTCCCAAAGACTTTGGGGTACATTGACGCAGCCGTGGTGGAACTGTTTGAGAAACTTTCGAAGCAGTCGATTCTTGGAAGAAAATATTCTGGATGGATGTTGTAGCTGCCAGAAACATGCTTACTCCGGACTATATGGAGTGGCGAAGATTGAGAAAAAATGACAATATCCCGGTGCCAGACTGTGAGGACACCCGAACCCTAGAAGAACATCTCAGGCCTGTCTTTTCTGAACTTGAGATAGCCAATATAGAGTTTGAAGCTGTGAATAACGAGCTGAAGCAGAGGGTAAAGGAGCTTGAAACTGAGCGCTATCAGTGGAAGCTAGATGACGACTCTCAGAAAGATCGAGCAAACAAACTTGAAAAAGAACATAAAAAAGTATGTTTTGAGCTCGAAGACTTGAGAAATGGGTATCAAGATAAAGTCAAGGATAACTCCAAGTTGAAAGTGGCTTCTAAATACTGGAAAGACTAAGCCCATAGCCTGAAAAGAAAGTTCGAACGGTGTGATGAGAGAACTTGGAAGGAACAGATGAAGACTGCCCAGAGGCGCTTAGCAGACAGTCAGCATCAAAACCAATGCTTGAGAATCCAGATGGCTGATATGGAGAAACAACATGAGAGAGATGGCAAAACAATAGCTGAGTTAGAAGCTATTGTAGATGAGTTCAAGAAGAAAGTGAGCGAGCTTCAGATAGTGCTCTTCGACAGAGGTTTACAGTGGCGTTTCCGTTGGGAGCAAGCACAACAAAGGGTGAAGGGCAGAGACGCAGTCATCCGAGACTTCCTGGATCAAGTACAGAAGGCAGCTCGTCATCTACACGGCCTGGCAAGGAAAGCTGGAATGGTCCGGCAAGGCATACAACCAATGACACATGAAGACAGAAGACTTGTCAACCTACTAGAAGTTGTTCAGGGTCTAGAGGATTTAGTCCGAATGTACCTTTGATCGTTTTTATGTCTCTTACAAGATAAAACATTTTTGTGTAAGTAAAAATTATTTTTAATAATGGACACTTTTCTGGATCAATGCCTCGAACATTTCATGCATTCTTGCATTTTGCCTTTTTGCCTTTTTGCATCTTCATCTACATTTTTAAGCATTTTCACAAACATGAAATTAAGTCATGAAGGACTCGATGAAGTGGATTTAACCACATGGAAGCAAGATTGTAACATTAAAGAGCCTGATCAGCTGATGGTAGGCCAAAGCCGGCCAAGATGATCTAAGAAAAGAATCCACATATCCTAAGGACTACGATGTTGAAGCTGTTAGCTGTTACCACATAAGAAGCCCCAAACATTCCTATGAGAACTATAAGGCGCTGAAGAGCAAGATCCAAAACCTGATGGATTCAGGGGCATAAACGACCGAAGAAGGGGGCATGTCATATACCATTTGCACTTAGAGGATTGTTTTGTTTAAACACGTCTCTAATCTTTCATCGTTTGCTTAATCTTTTAAAGGATTGAATTTATGCTACTTTCTAAGGTGGAGCAATTGAACAAATTCTAATCTTTAGTTCTTCGAATATTAAATGAATTAAGGATTCTTTTAATTCTTCAAGAATTATAGATTTTTGACATATGACAAGGTTAGACCTTTCTTATCCTGTCTCAAACCCCAAAATAAAATACC